TATAATCTCAAATCATCTAACAGATACAGACATTTTAGAAAACAGCTCTTCCCCCTCAGCCTTTTCAGCCTCTTCACTACTTCATTGATTAAGTTCAAGACTACATCTAGCTCCAACAGGTGACTTCCAAAAGATGGTTCTTTCCTAAAAACTAACAAAAGAACATTTATATAGGGATTATTTTGCGACTTCCAACAAAATTTGGGCATTAGGACTTAACCATTAACACCAGAAATGTGGGGCCAGGGATTTAGCTCAGTGGTTCCACCATCTGCCTCAAAAGGGCAAGGTTCCGAGTTCAATTCCCAGTACACCCCCCAAAAAAAACACCAGAAATATTAACCAAACTGCACATGTAGAACAATGGCTAGACAACCTGAACTTACTTAACTTCCCTCTCTGTATATTTCGCTTTGCCCCAAGAGCATGAAACTTACTCTCCAAGATATCAAGTTTGACAATACAATTCCCAAAATGCATCCATTCCTGTGAAGTATTAAAAATGATTTTAAAACACAAAGTAATGCTTGACTTTCACATGTTTGGTCTTTAAACATCTATGAAAACTAGATGCTGTTGACAAGAACTGAAATTTCCCATATGTATAGTGGCATTGCATAAACTGCACATAAAGCCTAGATTTTTAAAAATGTTATCTAAATAGGAACACTTTGGCTTAGAACCCTTCCCCCTTTCCACCCTTTTTAACACTGGAGACAGATATATGCATATGCAATACTTAGAGGGGAATTTAACAATTTCATTTTCTAAGTGATTAATTTTATTGGTATATTTTAGATACATATAATGGTCACATTCATTAGGATCACATTCATCATAGGAAATTTGTATCTGTTTGTTTGTTTTTGAGACAGAGTCTCACTATGTAGTTGTGACTGACCTGGAACTCACTATGTAGCCTAGGCTGGTCTTGAACTCACAGTGATCCTCCTGCCTCAGCTTCCCGAGTGCACACGCCCAGCTGGGAATTTGTATCTGTACACAACGTATCTTGATTCTTTTTACCCCAATCCTTTCCTCTTCATTCAACCCTTTGTTATTTACAAAAGCACTGTTTCCATCTTTTTCTTTCTATTCTCTTTTCTTTTCACTTTCTTCCTCCCTCACCCTTCTTATTCCCCTTCCCATTTGACTCTTTTCTTCCCATTTCCCAATATGTACTAGATATTTGACCCAGCTATTTCTCTGCTGGGTATCTTTCCAAAAGAATTAAAAGAATCATTCCAGAGTGATATATGCTCACTCATGCTGACAGCGGCACAGTTTGTAACAGCTAAAACCTGGAAACAGTCCAAGTGCCCATCAACTAGAGACTGGATAAAAAAGATGTTGTTTTTTTAAAAAATATTAAATAGAATACTACTGAGCCATAAAGAATGAGAAACTAGAGACATCTATAGCTAAATGGATGCACATTATGGCCATATTCTTAAGTGAAATTAGTAAGACACACATGTAAATACCAAATAGTTTCTCTGGTATGAAAAATTAAAAGTGTAAATAACAATCAAAATGTATAATCAATATTGTGCAAAAGGAAGAAAAGATCTAAAAGAGTAGGGGGAAGTAGGAGGGATAGGGGAAAGGTAAGAAGGCAAATGAAAAAATATGAGAAAAGGGAAATATGAAAAGAATGTCCTTATAAATAGGGAAGGGAGGAGGGGCTCAAGGGAGGGCTGGAGAATGGGGAAAAAATAGGAACCAAGATACATCATGTAATGATGCAAGATCCCAAAGATGAATGTAACTGTACTGTATATCTAAAGTTCACCAATAAACTTTAAAAAAAGAAACCATTAGCAGAGTGAAGAGACAACTCTCAGAATAGAAAAAAAAAATTTACCAGCTATTCCTCAAAGAACTAATATGCAGAATATTTAAACACTCAAAAAAAATCAGACCCCCAAAATTCTAAGACCCAATCCAAAAATAGGCATCTCAAATGGATACCTGTAAGACAAAAAAGTACAAACAAATATATGAGAAAATATATCACTGATCATTCAAGAAATGTAAATTAAAAACCACACAGATTCCATCTCACTCAGAAAAAGTGACAATTATCAATAAATCAATAAAAAATGCCAGTGGTACTCTTAGGAAAAAGAAAATTCTCATTGCTGCCAGGTGAGATTCCTCAAAACAGTAAGACTAGAAGTTCCATTTGGCAGAGCTATTCCCCTTTTAGCCATCTTCTGAAAGAATTAAAAGCATCATACCACAATGCATATGATGTACACATACCATGTTTATAGTAGCACAATTTATAATAGCTAAATCCTGGAAACAGCCCAAATACCCATCAACAGATAAATAAAGAATATGTGGTATTTGTACACAATGGAGTACTACCCTACTATAAAGAAGGATAAAGTTGAGTCATTTGTAGATAAATGGATGTACCTTGAGACAAAGTGTCACATAAAATAAATAAGGTACAGAAGTTTTAAATATCTCATTGTTTTTCCTGTGTGAGAAACCTGAAGGGTAAACAAAGAGAAAAGTGGAAGATAGGAATTGAGAAGCAGGAAGAACATGTTCAAATGGGAAGGGGAAAAAGGGACAGGGAGAGACAGGAAAGGGATTAAAACACAAAGAATGGAAAGAAAATGGAAAAAAGCTTTAGTAGATGGGGAAAGAAAGGAAGGTTGAAGAAAGAGGGAAATGTGGGAAAAGCGGAAGTAAAATATAGAATGTACAGGTACAAATTATCTGTGATGAATATGAGTACTACGTATGGCAAATATGTACTACTAAAAATTTTTATGGGGTGAGGTGAAATCTCAGTGTTGTTTTCATCTGCATCTCTCAAATGACCATTGATGTGGAACATTTTTTCATATATTTACTTGCTGCTTTTCTTTCTTTCTTTCTTTTTTTTTGGTACCGGGGATTGAACTAGGATCCTTGCTCTTGCAAGGCAGGCCACCAAACCTCAGCTAAATACCCGGCCCCAAAGACTAAAGTAATCATTTTTATTTTTTATTTATTTTTTTGGCACTGGGAATCGAACTCTGGTCCTTGCACTTGCAAGGTAGGCAGCAGAACCATTAGGTAAATCCCCAGCCCTTGCTGCTTTTATTTCTTTGTCTGAGAAATGTCTGTTCATTTCAGATGCCCGTTTTTGATTCAGGTCTTCATATATATATATAT